TCTAGAATTGGTTAATAGTTTGTGCAGATATCACCTCTGATGGCAGCTTGTTCCATGCTTCGACCACTCTTTGGCTAAAAAAGTGCTTGTGTGGGTTATTATTCGACATGGCTTTGGTTAATTTGAAGTGATGTGCCCTTAGATGTGTGTATCTTTGTCAAAATTTTCTAGATCATAGTGTCCATGTATAATTTTATAAGTTTTGATCAAGTCTCCTCGTTCTCTGCGATCTTTCAGAGTCGTTAGTTTAAGTTTATTTATTATTGATTTATTTAGAGATTTCATAATTGTGGATAAAAGAAGAGAAGCAGAAGAGAGCATGGCTAGATTTACTAGCGACCAAGGCTAGTTATTCTAGAGGAATGAATGATGATATTAGAAGGAAAAAAGGTAGTCTTTAGACATCTAAATAAGAGAGTAAAAGAAGTAGTTGAAAGGAAAAAGCAAGAAAGAATGAATAAGAATTATAGAAGAATATTAGATAACTTCCAGGCAAATATTAAAATGTTCTTGAAACTCGTATGACCTGCCAGGGGTCATTCTAAACAGTTTAAAATGAATACCATACGAGACCAGAATGGCTGTATTCTGAATGCTGAAGTTTTGAGTTTAAGGAGATGGAAGGAATACTTTGAAAGCGCGTTTATGAGTGATGAGACGTTTGCATTAAATGAATTAGAAATTCCGAAAGAAGAGGAAAGAAATAGAGCGATAAATATAGATGAAATAATGAAAGCAATGAAAAGTATGACAGCAGGTAGCACAGCCGGATATGATAGAGTATCACTCGAAATGCTAAGGGCTGGAGAGGGTGGTGGCAGACCTGCTGTACACCTTGCATAATTTATGTTGGAAACTTAAGCAGGTACCGGGAGACTGGTGCAGTCGTGATAGTCCCAAATATAAAAGGGTAAGAGGATCACAGCAGGACTAGAAAAACTACCATAATAGGTGATGGGCGTGAGTGTTTATGATATGTTATATTTTATATTTATTATGTACTACTCATAGAAATTTCGACATTTGAACCATAAGTGACCACTTACCACAGAAATCATCTATGTTATTGACCAAAGACTACTATATTTATTATTGACAGACTAAAACTAAACCTATCGTGATGAAGCCCCATGCGTGTTTATTTATATCAAATCCGTACAATTATTATCACCATAATATCAAGAACACTCTACGTAACAATGAATATGCTTCCAAGCTACGAAATAATTTTATTAAGATCATTGTGTTATCCATAGCACAGAACCAGAACAAATAATCCATAGCCGTTAGTCGTTAGTGTATGTAGTTGACTGGTATTTTATCACAAAGGATGGTGTTTTGTTATATATTTTATTTGATATTCTGCTAGTTTTTATTTTAACAGTGGTAGAGCCACGCTGCAGCTTCTGCTGTAACATGGATGGGCCGGCTCGAACCGGGGCAGTACCACGACCTCACAGAATACCAACGTAAAGTAGAAATTATGCTTCTGCGTTTCGCTTGGTAAGTGCAGGTGGCCGGAGGCCCCCCCCCCCTCCCATAACATGGTAGCGGAATTCAAAAAGAAAGGACTCCAGGAGGGTAACAGCAACCCTGGTAATAGAGAATCCCTCACTGAAATCCACGGTCAAGCTACCCTCTTCTTCCTGAGCATGGGTGCTTAGGCTAACTCGCGTATTCGGGGGGGGGGGGGGGCAAAATCCCGCTCTATACTCTATCATGATCATCATCTTCAGGCAAACAGAGTGATAAAACCATGACGACCCCTGCCACGCTATCCGTGGACTTCTGCAACATCAAGGGACTTCACTCAAACCTTAACTCCGTCCACTACCATCTAGAGACGACGAGGCCAGCGCTGCTCTTTTTGACCAAGATGCACGTGTCCTCTCCGGTTGATACTTCGTACCTGTCCTACCCGGGGCACAAAGAACATTTCTTTGTGCCCTGGGCTGCAGTTTACATATACGTTTATTTTTACGTGGTAGAGCCATGCTGCAGCTATATTAATAGTATAGTTGTAGCACGAATGGGTCGGCTCGATCGGGGAAGGACCACGCTCTCACAAAATACTAGCGTAAAATAGCAGCTTAATGCTGCTGTGTTTCGTATGGTGAGTGTAGAGAACCGGAGACCCATTTTACTGGAAAAGAGGCATTCTATCTTAGTCCTTAAGGCTGACAACGCATCTGCATTTTAATTCGCAACCGAAGATAGATGCAGATGTCTATGGGCCACAGCAACCACTTACCATCAGGTGGACTGTGTGCTCGTTTGTCACCCTAATTCTATATAAAAAAATACGTCAGAGACGATATCTGATCTCGACGCCTTGGCAGTCTTGAAGATACGGACCTGTCCATTCTTTGGCTGCGCGTGGACAGTGACGACCATCCCCGCGTCTACGGTTGCCTGTATAAGTCCCATAGCGGTAATGCCGACACAGACCGACTCATCGACCACATACAAATGGTTACAGATTTCTTGCTACAACAGATCCCATCCATAGAGATCGTGATACTTGGCGATTTTAATGCCCACCACGCCGAATGGCTCGGTTCACGTTTAACCGATCATGCGGGGAGATCTCTTTATGAATTTGCCTAGGCATATGGTACCTGACACAACTGGTTACTTCGCCTACGCGGATTCCAGATGTGAAGGATCGTACACTTTCCCTGTTGGACCTTCTGATAACCTCTCATCCGGTCGGTTATCAGGTTTCCGTCGATGTCCCTCTCGGATCTTCGAACCATTGTCTGATCCAGAGTGTGGTGCCACTCACGATCCCCTCACGGTTGCGTTCTGCACGCTGCTTTGGCATTACAGGTCGGTGGGTTGGGAAGGAATGCGATCTTTCTTTACATTCTACCCATGGGAGCGAGTTTGCTTTTTACCAGATGATCCCAGCGCTGTGGTTGCCCTGTAAGACTGCATTACACAGTAAGCTGGAGTGTTATCACGCCTGGGCTAAGGCTTTGGCGGCTCGGGATGTAAGCACCAGCATACTTTAAAAGAAGTATAAATTCGCCTCCAGGACCTTCAAAAGAGTAATTGCCAAGGCAAGGTTTGGAGCACATTGGCAGATTTGGCGAAAACTTAGTTCGCCTTCCTTCGGGAACCCGTGGATTCCGGTCTCTCGCCAAGGATGTTCAAGGGAATTTCTGTAAGACATCACTACCATCTCTGCACAGGGAGGATGACTCACTGGCCCACGCCGCAAAAGAGAAAGCCGACCTTTTAGGCTCCCTTTTTGCGTCCAACTCGACTCTCGATGACGGGGGCAACACACCGCCGACGATCCCGCAGTGTGAGTGGTCTATGCCTGATGTGCGATTCACACAGTAATCAGTACGCAAAGCACTCTTCTCCCTCGACATACACAAGTTGAGTGGGCGTGACGGAATCCCGCCAATTGTGCCGAGGACGTGTGCTCCAGAATTGGCACTGGTTTTAACGCCTCTTTTCCGGTACTCCTACTCTCTTGCTGTTATCCCGAATTCATAGAAGATAGCTTTCGTGCAGTCGATCCCTATAAATGGTACTCGGTCTGATCCATCCACCTACAGGCCTATCGCCATCACCTCCTTGTTCTCGAAAACAATGGAGTCCATTATTAACTGCCAGCTTATGCTACCTTGATGAGTACCAGCTGAATTCTTTCTTTTTTTTTTCTTTTTTTTTTAAAAACGTTACCCCCACACTAGGATTTTCTCCTGTATCGTGGAGGCAGTTTACAAACATAAATTGCACAAGGACAAACATCCAGACCCGGAACAATTATTTGTAGGCCATACAAATAGAGTTGTTCCGTGCGGGATTCGAACCCGCGGCCCCCAGCGCAACAACTGATTGCTAAGCCACTGCGCCACGGAGCCGGATTAGTGACCGCCAGTACGGTTTCCGTCGGGGTCACTCAGCTGGTGATCTTCTTGTTTACCTAACACATAGATGGGCGCAGACGATCAAGTCCAAGGGGAGGCATTGGCCGTTAGTTTGGCCATAGCGAAGGCTTTCGATGAGGTCTGGCCCAAACCGCTTCTTTCGAAGCTTCCTTCCTATGGGCTTCCCGAGAAATTGTGCAATTGGATAACCGGCTTTCTGGCTGATCGGAGCATCAAGGTCGTAGTAGACGGTGCATGCTCCGATTACAAGCCTATTAACGCTGGTGTTCCACAAGGCTGCATGCTATCACCAACGCTGTTTCTTCTGCATATCAATGATATTTTTGCAAACCGGTAACATTCATTGCTATGCGGATGACAGCACTGGTGATGCTCTATACACCGACCGTACCAATATTTCTCGCAAAACCTTCGCCGAGTATCGTAGCGAAACAAACTTGTGTCTGAAATCGAGTCTTTGCTGAACAATGTCCCTTTGTCGTATCTCCTCAGTTTCAAGGCACTTCCCTTGTTGCCTCAGCCAATATCAGAATCCTCGGCGTCGACATATCGAGTGACGTGCAGTTTCGTGGCCACTTGGAAGAGAAGGCCAAATTGGCCACTAAAAAGCTTGGCGTGCTCAGCAGAGCGGGACAGTATTTCATACCGGTACACCGCCTGCCACTTTACAAGGCGCAGGTTCGGGCTCACATGGATTACTGTTCCCATCTCTGGGCTGGTCTCCCCAGTACCAGCTCCTTCCACTTGACCGCATCCAGCGCAGAGCGGCTGGAATCGTCTACGACCGAGTCCTTTCCGATCGGCTCTTTTCACTGGCGCTGCGAAGAGATGTTGCATCTTTTTGCGTATTTTATCGGGAGTGCTCTGAGGAATTGTTCGGATTAATTCCAGCCGCTCAATTTCACCATCGTGTATCGCGATACCATCCATACTGTGCCGGACGGGCGTAACTCTCCGAAGTAAATGTTGTCGAAGATACTCCGCGAGTCGCTCACGTCCTACACCTATAGGTTCCGGAGGATACTTTCACTGCCGTCTCTGTGTGTGCTGCTGGAAAACTGTGGACTGAGGTTCAAAATTAAAATGCACGATTTATAAATTAAAATAGCAAGGGAGTGGCCAGCGGTTCGACTGATTAATTAGTCGCGAAATTTTATAACTATTATTTATTGACCACGGTTGTTGAACACGGTTGTTCAACTACGGTTGTTCATTATCGGTTGGTCACTATATATTTCAAAAGATTCAATTAAAATGTGCGGTAGTATTAAAATATCTATTGGTAATATCAAAATATCTATTGGTAGTATCAAAATATCTACTGGTAGTATCAAAATATCTATTGGTAGTATCAAATATATATTGGTAGTATCAAATATCTATTGGTAGTATCAAAATATCTATTGGTAGTATCAAATATCTATTGGTAGTATCAAAATATCTATTGGTAGTAGCTGGTTTTCTAACACTACTGACTAGTAGCTATTAATCAACTAAAACTAGTTGATTTTATCACTCGTGTAACTGCGAATATCAGTTACCACCTTTTCCGTCTAGCTAACACTTTTCACTATATGTAACGGCGAATTTTCCGTTACCACTATTTTCGGCTAGCTAACACTTTTTTACTATATGTAACTGCGAATTTTCAGTTACCACTTTTTTCGGCTAGCTAACACTTTTTTACTATATGCAACTGCGAATTTTCAGTTGCCACTTTTTTCGGCTATGTGTAACTGCGATTTTCAGTTACGACCTTTTTCGGCTAGCTAAACTTTTTCTAATTCACTATTACTGTTCACTATGTTCTGCTACTAGTCACTTCAGCTACTACCGGATACTACTGCTTGTCACTGGTAGTTCTTCCTACTACAACGTTACTGGGATTCGGCCCCCATAAGGTAGACTTCGGCTATACTGTATAGTGAGCCGCTTGCCATTTTCCGTTTTGCCTCTTTATTTTTAAACATTTTCACTATGTAATTAGCACAAATCGCAATATTTTCTATACAAGGCTAATTTTTACACTAACACGCTATACATCATTAAATAGGCATTTTGGTCCTTTATCAGTATGTGATAAAGGTTATTCAATATATTTACATTTAAAAAGTTATTAAATGAAATGTCCCAAATTTTCACAACAAATGGGTACATTAATTCTTTAATTTTTCTATATTTATCAAATGCGTTTAATTATACAAATTATTTCTTTACTATCGTAATCTACACACCATATGCTAACTAAATATCATATTTACAACTCTTTTAGAACACAAAAATATTCTCATTATTTTCAGTATAAACTATTGCGCAGTTAATTAAACTTCCAGAAAGTTCTACGATATGATGCGCTGTGATTGGTCGAATTTTTCTTAAATGCTTAGTTGTTTTTTTTTTCTTTTTTTAAAAACGTTACCCCCACACTAGGATTTTCTCCTGTGTCGTGGAGGCAGTTTACAAACATAAATTGCACAAGGACAAACATCCAGACCCGGAACAATTATTTGTAGGCCATACATATACTTGTTCCGTGCGGGATTCGAACCCGCGGCCCCCAGCGCAACAACTGCTTGCTAAGCCACTGCGCCACGGAGCCGTCCTTTATATCAACTATTATTAAAACGACATTCTATACAAATATATTAAGAGTTGTAAACACACTGTAAAACCATATTAATACACAATCTGCTCGATTTCGTTGCTAATTTCACTTTTTATACAAAACAAATATTCTTTCATCATTTTTCCTTAAAGTCTTTATGCCGTCGCGAACATCTCTCCCGCCGTGCAGCGTCGCGAACATCTCTCCCGCCGTGCAGCGTCGCGAAGATCTCATCGCAGTGGCGCTGCATCCATTTCGGTGAGCGACGTTGCTTCTACTTCGGCAGCGGCACGAGTTTCCTGGTTGACCTCTTGATTAGGCCGTTTGCGGTGCGTACCTCCACAGTGCGGATCTATCCGTCCGTACCGGGGAAAATCGCTTCAATCCTTCCTCGTGGCCAGGTGTTACGAGGTATCTGGCCGTCAGCTATGAGGCTTCGTCCATGAGCCTCCCGCCGGTTTTGAATTTCCGGTGGCCCAATGTAGCTCAGACCGGTGAAGGTGAACGGTCTCTGGTGATGAGCGAGACGTGTACTGGGATTATCACCGGTGGCTGGCGCTAGTGGTTGCGCTTTTCTAATCCGACACTTTAAGCATTGACTCACTATCTTTTTCGTGGTGGGTCGAAGTCGGATCACCCAGTAGTGCTGTCGAACCTCGTTGATGGTAGGTTCGGTTCCACAATGATGCAGGCTACGATGCGTCCAGTCTATGTACAATTGAGTGATGTAATGATCACCATCCAATATAGCTGGCCCTTTCATGTCTTCCGAGACTCCCTTCACGGCGGCTATGCGACTTCGTAGAGCGATGATCCCGTCTTTCAACTCTATTTGGAGCGGTCGTAGGCGGCTATCATGAGCGACCCTTTTATCTTTATGGAGATCGGCTATCTCTCGTTTGAAGGAGTCCTCTTGGATGACACGTGTTAGGAGCTTTTCGGCCTCTCTGATGAATTCGGCCTCGAGCGTGATGTATTTATTTGCATCTTTATTTTTCACTCGACTGGGAGGCTGCGCGAGGTGTCGCGGATTATTTTTCGATTTCCTCCAGTCGGGATCTTCCTCTTTACTCCTTTTGGTCCTTTTGTAAAAGGTCCTGTCTGTTGTTTTGCGGCAGAGTGTAATAAACTGAAGCATTCTGGCCGTAACTCGCAATGAGCGTTCCCATTTCGAAAACTTTACTGGATCGGGAATGGCTTCTCTGAATAGCGGCACTTTATGCGATTCTGTAATGGTGAAGGATCTTTCTTCACCGGTCGGTTCGGATGACGTGGGTTTTTCGGTCGGCCATGCTGACGGTTCTTTGTAAAGAAACGATGGGCCGTTGTACCACTCGTGATTTGAGTCGAAGTTCGGTGGTACGTCCCTCGTAGCGGTGTCAGCTATGTTTAATTTGGTAGGTACCTAGCGCCAGTCATCCACTTTACTATGGTCCTCGATTGCTGCTATACTGTGTGCAACGAAAGGTTTATAACTTCTGGAACCCTTTACTGTCGTTTTGTCGTTGACAGGCATCGTGACATTTTTTTTCTTCCAGAGAAATTCTGTTTCTATGAGCCCGTCTTCCAACTGACGGGTGCTGCTATTTAGTATGTTTTCATCTTTCTTCTCCGGATCGGAGTCTAGTCTTCTCAGATTGATTACGAGAGATTCTGGCGCGAAGTATTCGTGGAGTTGATCATTTATGGTTTCCTCACTCGTGTGCAGCTCATTGGCCGCGTGGACGCGCTGATACGGGGCTTTAGTGTGTGCCCCGTGTAGCACCCATCCTAGTTCTGTGAGCGAGGCGATTGGCTGGTGCGGCGGACCTCTGCAGACTTGAGTGGCTATCAGAAGTCTCCAATTGTCCTGTCCTATTAGGATCCTTGGGTTGCCGGAGTCATATATTAGTTGGTCCTTCAGGTCTTTTAAGTGTTTGCAATTTGCTATATCTGCTGCACACACAGTCTGTGGCCCCAAGTTTAGGCTGGCGACCGTGCGTGCTCTGAATGGCACCCTTTTTCTGAGGAGACTCTTCAGCAAAACTTGGACTCTTCGGGAGTCCGGTGAATCGAGGGTAGTGTTCCCGATAGCGGTGATCTTAAATGGGTCCAACCGCCCTGTAGCTCCGATTTGTTTGGCAATCTCTTCATCCATTAATGAGACTGTTGACCCATCATCCAGCAGGGCGTGTGTGTTTACCGCTCCCGCCGGTCCAATTACTCTAACTGGAATTATTTTTAGATAGGCTTGATGCTTTGACACAGCGAACGAGTTAGCTACGGTTTCTTGAGGTTCTTTTTGTGTGACCTCTGTCTTCTCCTTTTTATTATAGTGGAGAAGTCGATTGTGTGTCGCGGTGCATCCTTTTATTCCACACTTAGTGGTTTTACATTTGTGTGTCTGATTTTTATAGCGTAGACACCGGAAACATAAATTACTTTGTTTTGCAATTTCCCATTTTTTATCGACATCTGCTTCTTTAAATTTGTTACAGTCGGATCCGTAATGACCTTCCTTTTCGCACACTCTGCATTTCAGAGACGGCTTAGTGGTAGCCGCGTGTGTTATGTGTACTGAACGATTGCTCTGCGCTCCGTTTATAATTTCAGGAGGCGCAAATGCACTGCAGAAGCGAGCTTGTTCGGTGATAAACTCTCTGAAGGAACCGAGGTCTGGTCTAGAGTCGTATTTTTCGGTGTAGATTCTATACCACTGTGCACGTATAGAATTTGGCAACTTGTCGGTGAGGTGTCGTAGCAGCTCTGCGTTGACGAGGTAATGATCTCGTTTGAGTGCTCGAAGAGTGACGACGCTTCCCCTCACTTTGCTCGCGAATGTGCAGATGTCTCTAGGTGCTTCTGTACAGCATGGTAATCCTCGTAATTTCTCGGTTTTGGCTTGTGCAATTGAATCTGGACGCCCAAATTGTAGCTCCAGTTCTCGCATAATCTCATCTGGCTTAGCATGCCCGATGAGTTCTGAGCTGACTGTTTCCAAGGCTCTTCCTTGTAGACTTCTTCGTAGTCTTGCAGTATTTTCGATATCATTGAAGTAGCCTCGGGTTGTTTCGTAAATGGCACGGAACGAAAGCCATTCGGTATGTGCTCCGCTAAAGCTCGGCAGTGTCATTATAGCTTTCGACGCTGTGAAAGTATGCGACGATAGTGATGCACTCTCTGGTTTTGGTTTGTCAGCGAGTGCAGCTATAGCGGATTTGAGCTCCGATATAAATGGTCGGAGCCCCCTGTCTTCATTAATGACAGGTGCCTGGTTAGGCGTCTTTGGCATGGGATTCTTCGGTACATCTTCCGGATAGGGGTCCTGGTAGGTGAGCTCTGATACAATTGGTAGGAGCCCCCTGTCTTCATCAACCTTCGAATCCTGATTTGTGAGCTTCTTCTGCGGCTCACTGAGGTCGACAACCTCCGGGGGTGGCTTTGTGACGGTTTTATTTAGTGGGGCCTCCCCTCCAGTGGTGGCGCATTGAGTTGGCTTTTGCTTGGCTACGGAATTTTCGAGCCAAGACCGGACGTACTCGCTTTTGGAGTGACCATCTTCATCATAGTCGTCCGATTCATCTTCTTCTTCAGCCATCTGTAAGGAGATCTGTGCGAGTTCCAATTTGATTCTCAACACTTCTTCACGAGCCTTCAAAACTTTTTTATGGGGCTGAATAGTTTTCTTTGACTTTGTACTTCTATCGGGGTGGCCCCTCGGTGGCTCTTCGGCGCGGGTATCTTCCCGGGCTGTTGGCGGTGATGCACAGCGAATGTCATCGTTGCCTTCTATTTGTTGCCTCTGCTTCGGTGTACCGGTTGTAATGGCCGGCACGGGCAGGAGTACCCCCTCATCGCGGGGGCAAGATGGCGCCTCAGCGGCCTGTGTTGTCGACGGTGAGCGTGGCGGCATCTGGTGGCGGACGGCGTCGGTATTATCCGACGGGCCTCCTTCCAGACCGACGGTCCACGCCATGGCTCCCCTTCCTTGCGAACGAATGATCGGCATCTTGATTCTGAAAATTCTGCAACTGTAAAATGTAGGGCTTAACAGGCATTGAAGTGAAAAAACAATAAATGTTAGAAGGAAGTTTTTGGCCGGAAAAAGTTAAAACAACTGTTTGAGAGGGAATCCACACAGTACTTTGGTTTTCATTAACTGACTTTCTATTAAATCGGCGAGCTTTAATAATTGAGCCAAAACCAGCTGGGACCTCGATTGATGATATGAGTTCCTCTAATGTCCACTCTACAGGGACCTGCCTCACTATTCCCATGCGTGTGACATTATAGGAAGGGATTACAGTATCATATTTAGCACCTGCAAGGGCTGGGTTTTCAATAAAACAATTTGCATCAGCTGCACTTTTAAACTCGACAGAAATTCTATTGCGTCCTATTCGCTTAACACCATCACTAACAACATTTTTAATATTATTATGGTAGAGAAAATGACCAAACTTTATCGGTTTTAAAACTACTCCAGTTGATAAATCATCTACTCTCTTACTTACATGAACAATAAACGGCGCATTGTCGGTATTAGAATATTTATGTTTTTTTTCTATGTAGTCAGGATGGGTATAAGAGGTCTGAATAGATGGTACCGGTTGAGATGGATCTCTAATTAATCTTTTCTGAGGATGAGCTGAGTTATTGGTTACTTGCAATCTTTTACGCTTCGACTGATCAATTTCGATAGGCATATTATTATGTTTCTTGGTAACAGTATGGGAGTCACATGGAACCCCGTCGGGATCGGGAGGATCTTCCTCCATTTTATTTTAACTAATTACATATAAAACAGCACAATTACTAAATACTTACGGATTTATAACTACTAAAACCAACACCAATAGAAATAATAAACAAATATTAAATCAACAGCTCTCAGAATAAGAAATAGCCCAAAACACAACAACACTTGTACACCTCACACCACTCCTTCCTCTAATACCTGATCGAGATTTTAGAGTAGTTTATCGTGCACAATCCACAATATTCGCAGCAACACCAAGCTCTTCAATGTTGTTGTTTTATTTATCATTGAAGTTGTAACTTAGACTAGAATCTAAATGGCCAATAACTGTATTGAGCCCAATAACTATAACATTTACAGTATGTTTTATTAGGTTAGGCCCAAAATTAATTATGATACAGTTGTACTTAATTTGTTATAAAAAATAACTAAATAACCGGTGGGCGATAATGACCATTTGAAGATGTTGATGGCACCTAGACTATTAATCCCCTTAAAATGTAAAAAAAACTTATTTTGCTTTTCTTTAATTGCCGTCTTAAGTACCTGTCAGTATCGGTATTAATGTAGTAAGGCTGCTTTCTTCATTCACAGGTTCAGCTACAAGTAAAATTTTCTCTGAAATACCAACTTCATCAGACTTGCCTGAAAAATAAAAGAAAAACAATATTATTTATTTTAAAAATAAATAAAAACTTATAAAGTTAAAGAATTTTTAATTTGAAGTGGAACAAAAATATATAAAAGTTTTATTTTTCCACCACACAGACCATCAATATATTTTCTTATCATTATAAGAATATAAAATGAACATAATATGAATTAAAAAATTACCGATAAACACAAAAATAAAACAATACTAGGAATGCAGCCTACACACTAATCAACATAGGGTATAATGTGGGACGATGCATGGTACTGTATTTGTACTTGTTAAAAACATGGCCAAAATGATTTCCCATCATTTTGGCCATGTTTCATGCCTAATGTGGGAAGGATTTCAGTTAAATATGCAATATTAGCAAAATTCTAACTTCAACTCATGCCCAGTACCACTAATGTATAATTTTACATTGGTTGGTCGGTACATCTCTACTAATGAGTAGAGATGTACTGACTAGTTGAAAAAGCCGACTATCCATCCATATTTGTAGTCGGCGATTAGTCAGCAAGAAACGCCGATTAGTCAGCCTATTATATTAATTATTTATATTGCAAATAAATTAAATAATCTGTATGATAATTGAAATGAAATCTTAACCTTAATAACAATGAATTATCAACAAATAATTTTTATTTTAGAATCAGACTGATTGTAATATATTTAGCAATAATGAAAAAATTGCTAAAATAATTATAATTTGATAATTATCTATTTTTATCATTAAAATGTATGTAATTTAACTAGGGTAAAAATTGTGATATACAAAGGTACATTTTCCCATAGTAAAAAATATTAAATTATTTATAGTATTTTATTAGAGGCAATTTATGGTGTAAAAACACCAGACACTGCCCTTTCTGGCAGCAATCTATTCCTTATAAATTAGTATATATTGCCAACTTCAACAAGTTGAACAAAAGAAGTACACTTTAGCAAGAAGCAAGATTTTGGGATATCTTGAACTGTTACAACTCCGCCATTGAACTCTACAGACAACAAAGTGCCATGGAGATTGCAGATCAAGGGCGGATCCAGCTTTGGCGCCAGGAGGGGGTCACATAGTCGTGGTCAAGTCAAGAACTTATAATTTAATTTTGATAACAATAGATACAAGTAAAAAGTAGGTATTTTATTAATGTACGTAAGTACTGTACTTAAAGATATTTATTCTTTATTGTACACTTGAAAAACTTAACACCTAATAACTTGTACATATACACGTACATATTGCCATCTTCTCTTGAAGACATCCAGAGAAGCACTATCACGCACGGAATGAGGCAGCCTATTTATATTCCATAACCGTGGTGAATGATTTGTCATAACAGCTAGAGGTATGTCGAGGGGTATGACGCAAAACTCCGCAAAAGTGAAGAGGTGGTACGACAAGGGTTTTCAACAAACAAAATAAAAACAGACAAAATACATATATTTAAATAGCAAAATCAATTTTTCTTTTACGTCTTCTCCCGAAACGCGTTATTACGTCATTTACGTCAATGGGTACGTTTTTATGAACGTGGAGAAGTGCCAGTCCGGTTAGGCGATCTTCAACCATTGAAGATCTTAGCCACGATTTAATTCTGCGCAACGTAGAAAAAGACCTTTCTGCTGTCGCTACACTGACAGGTAATGTAGCCATAATACATAAAAATTTTCTTATATTAGGATACATATCGATGTCACAATTTAAAATAAGATCAGAAATTGACTGCGGTATGTCCTGGCTCCGCTGCCACTTCACCATCCACAGCCGATATTCATTTACAATGACAGAAACTGGAGTGTTATCTAGTAATAATGGATAGTCGGTAGCTAGTTGTTTCACAGTTTCAATGTCTTCATTACTATATTCACTTTTTGGCATGAAAACGCTTAGGTGAAACTAATTAAGTACATCAGGAGACAGGCGGTCCTGGAGATCACTTATTATTGAATCTAGAAGAGGGATGTATATAGCTCTGCGGAAATACTCTTCAGCAGATTGAGCAGGTTGGTTATTGGCCCTATGTATTTGTTTTTATACTATTCTGGGGCATTTAATTTCTACATCTAGCTGCTCAACTACTTCTTTAGCCTCTTCAAAAAGCTGTCGGTAGATTACGTCCACATTTTCTCTTTTATTTTGTAAAACACTTAAAGTACGAGAATCATTAATAGCGTCCGTAGCTTTTTTTTAAATCAATTGAGTTCGATTGCAGTATTCTGCTTAAAGATACAGTAGTACCTGAAAAATAAAAAGTAAGTGACTGTGACTGTAGTGCATAAACTAAGAATGTATAACTTAATATAAACGGTATGTACTCCTAGCATAAAATATTAACAAAACAACAACATAATTTTAAAGTAGGTTTAGTATACTCGTACATATATAAGTTCATTTGCCAAAGGGAAGTACCCACCTAAAACATCACTTAAGCAGATGGAGGATATAATAAAGTCAGAACTGCGCAATGTTTGCAGCAAGCAATGCGCATCATTGGCAGTTTTATTGTCTTGCCAAGCAGAAATCTTCTCCAGAGCGCTACAAATTTTGACTAAGTTGTCTCTTTGGAATTGAAGTATAATCATGCCTCTCTACCCAACGTGTCTCACAAATACCTTGCATGGCAGCTCCGAGTTCTATTTTAAAAATTTCATGCCTCTTAGCGGATGTATTGGTAAATGCCACAACTTTTCTCATTGTGCCAGATGTATTGCGACAGGAAACTACTTTGGATGATCTTGCCAATGAGTTATTGAACACATGGTTGTTGCACGGGCAACGTTTAGCATGAATGGCTGTTTTCATCAATTCTTGCACTGCACCTTTTGTATCTGATGCCATAACCGAACAGCTGTCAGTTCCAATACCCACAAACCAAGATAAATCTAAGTTAAATTTGGTACACAGATTTACAACGATTTTCGCCAATGCTACACCTGTCAATCGAGGCTCTATGTCACCTGAATTGTTGTCTTCACGTCTAAAAGCATCGTAGGTATCACAAAAAGTCACAAAATGTTTCTTAATAATACCATCATGCAAATATCTGAATGATAGACTCAGGTGTGAGATATGTAATATATCTGTTGTTTCATCGAACATAATTGAAAAATATTTAGCTTCCCCCATATTCTGTAAAATATTTTCCTGGATGATTTCTGCGCAAACATCTATCAACTCATTTTGTACAGTCTTGCTGATGTACGTGGCGTTGGATTTTGAAGATTCTAAATGTTGCTGCAATGCAATATCGCCAGAATCAATACGGAATTTTAAAAGGGCTCTAAAATTCCCTTCATCGGTTACTACGCTGTCATAGTTCAGCAATTTACCGTCGTCGCGATGGCCACGTAACGATATGTTTTGATGGCCACAAAATATTATAGTTTTTACGATTGGTCGCAAACGTTCTCTATTTTCATTTATTTGTTTCAGTCTTTGACTATTTATTTGGTTCATTATGTTAATTTCCGGTTTATGAAAACTCAATAAAAAGTTCTTCCCTGCTTCGATAGCTAATTCGTGGTATTTGTTTCGCTGGTGTGTTAGCCAAACACCATTTTCTCCTAGCAAATTATCGAAAGCTTTACATGGTTCTTTTACGAGTCGACATAAAGGTGTTTATGTCTGTATACAACCTCCAGGAGCTCCGACAAACAAAGCACAGTTTTTATGCATGCTATATTCATTCTCTTGGTTGCTCTATTATTTTATTTTTAAAGAGCATTAAAATCAGTGTGGTCACGACGATACACTTGGTTTCATTGTGTGAATTTATCTAAGATTTTAGGTTATGTCAGTAAGCTTGATGCTCTTCAAACTCCATCGTCCAAAAAGTATATAGGTTGGTACATAAGTCACGCAGCACTCTTTCAGTAAGTAGGTCACACACCTACCTATGAAGTACTTTATGAACATTAACAACAATAACATTTAAGTTTAAACACACGCACTGGAATAATGAGAAACTGATTACTTGCCATTTCTTGTAATTAATGAATGTGCAGCAACAATTTTTAAGAATATTTATAAGGGTACACTTATGAACACATTATAGGTAAGAAATTTTAGTTTTTTAACTTAGAACTATGTTATAATATGTTGAAGTTTAGTCGTTCCGATTCCGATTGAGGTTAGGTCTACGTTACGTAGTCGACAAGCGCGCGCAAGTGTGGCGCGGTAAAATTCAAATTTTCGATACGTTCGTTCCCAAACGTTTGCCATCATACAAAATTATTATACTATATTATATTAAATTAATTAAATATTGAAGGTATGTAGTTACATAAAATGGTATGGTGACAAAATATATCAATAAAATCATTATGTTCAATTGGTGGTCCCCCTAAGTCCTGGAACCAGCTCAGGGGGGGGGGGGGTCATGACCCCCATGACCCTCCCCCTGGATCCGCCGTTGTTGCAGATACCAACCAAACTCAGCCAAAAGCAGTGATTGGCTTGGCCAACTAGTCGGCCAATGTCAAAGTCATCCTATCTCTAATAATTAGTAATAAGTTATAATGCCCTTAGTTGAAAATTATGTAAATGTTACCAGGAAGATGAAGTGATGGCACAGCTAGAAAATTCAACCGATAAAATGGATATCACAGATGACCTTCTTCCTAAACAGTTCATAATCAGCAGGACTATCTAACTTCCCACCAGCTATATGAACCCAAGCCTTGAAACGGTCAGGATTCATTTCTGGATGTGGAAATTGATGGTAGTTCTCTGAAAAAAAAAGAAAGACAACTTTTAATTTTTATTTTGAAAAATTTAAAGATCTAAAATAATTTTTCCTGAAGAATGATGCATAACAATATTGACATCTTATCCAATGATCCTACTAATATTAGAAAAAAGCAGCAAATGCGAGTCAGACATGCACATAAAAGGTTCCATACCACCTTATAATATTAAGCACTGCTTTTTTGAATACTTTTGCAACAAGAAATAGGGACCTCCTTTAATTTATAACTTAATTTGATTTATTATTATTTTTTGTTATACCGGCCATAGAAGTTCAGTCTGTGAAAAATTTCGAGTGTCTTCTTCTTCTTCTTTACTTTTTGGCTTCTCTTATAAGAATTCTGCCAATGTCAAGTCATGATTTCTTATATTTACGCGAACACTACACATTTTTAAATAAAACTAATTTTACGGATTTTATCGCGTATATTAACTTATTTTTATATATTCCCGACGTTTCGGGTGCTTTCCAGCACCCGTGGTCACGGGCAGGGGGATGAAACTGCCATACAAAGGAGATGTTCCAGAAATGTATGGAGCCTGGGCTAGCATTATGTACACTATATGTAAATACCGCTATATAATGTAGTAACCGTTTTTTATTGTTAGTTTTCTTTAATTTCACTTCGTTTCAATGTACATTCAAATTAACTTAGTCAAGGATGGTGGATCATACAGAGAAAACCATAGACTTAGTATAGAAAACACGAAATGTCATTTTGACATTTAACATTTGATTGACGTGTATTGTACTATCAACAATAAATAAAACAACACGAATTTCGAAAATCTTGGATGGATACGATAAACTTAAGACTACAGGATATTCAACTCGATTGCGGCAGCACATCTTATATCACCTATTAGAGTAGTTAGAGATTGGTTATATCGAAATGAAACGAAGGCTTGAAAGTTATTTTGTTTATTAACACTTTCCTGCTGCTTCATTCTTTAGTGCCTATCAATATATTCTGGACTTCAATAATTCATAGGCGAGTAGTGAGCTGTGCAGTATCTGACAACTGCAAGTTATTGTTAAAGTAGTTAACTATTCCTATTACACAGTAACAGCTGAGAAGATACCAACTATTTTAATTCAATTAGGCAGGAGCAGCATAATCAGCCTATAATGTTCCCACTGCTGAGACATATACTTCCTTTCTGTGAGGGATTGGACTGTGTAATCCACCACGCTAGCCCAGTGTCCCAACTTAACACTATCAATTTTTCAAACAAGTTCTATGTTATATAATTCCTAGTATTAGCGACATCAAAACGCGAGAAATCAGTCATGAGAGGTATATAAATAAAACAACTTGTTGGAACTTATGATTTCATTCGTTTTCCACATCATCCCTTATTAATATTCCATCCAGGAATGACACCGGTGCTTCTATGCTCTCTTGGTACTGAGCCCAACCCAAACACCACACAGTGGTCATGACATGAGCACAGCAACCCATTGTCCGATGTCCGGAGATACAATTACAATAATAGCTAATTATTTTATCATCCCCACTTGATTCTTCCCTTGCCAGCAATATGTAGGTATAATATGTTCGTCCTGAGCTGTCGAGTTTTTATACAGGCTTTTATTAAAAAAAGGATCAAGTTGGGATGGGGTTGCTTCTGCTACTACTTCCAGTTGGTCCGATACTTCTACCTGAAATGATCCATGTTGCCTAATATGTTCCCCGAAATAGCTTCTAGCCAATTTTATTTGATAGGTACCCAGCCCAAAAAGTATCAACTCAGACAAAATAATTAACTCTGGAAGTTGACCATCAATTTTTATGAATTGGGCTCTAAAGCGGTTGATCAGGTTAGCAATTATAAATTCTGCTAAACGGTTGAGCATATTTTCACTCTGTATTGTGCAAGTATAGCTACAGCATTTGGTCTATTTTCAATCATTGGATGGAAGGCATTAATTATAACATCATTGGGCTGAAAAAAAAGCCCTTAGACCCTCATTTTCATTTTGGAACAAAGTTTTCATGGTGTCATAATCAGATTTGGTTGTTGGATAGGGCCCCAAAATATCAATAATGTAACCATCAGTGGCAACAATGAGAAAAGGTTTAACAAGGTTTCTATATTTGTGCAAGCTATAAGTTTATTTTTGAAACAAGTAGTTGGATGATTTTTGAAGATATATATAGGTACCATCACATATTATTATTGGTACTCTTGCCTCTCTGTTTCCAAACAAGCCCTCGGGTATTAATAAATTCCTATTAATTAAATAATTTATTCTGTGATTGATTATATATAATAATAATAAAATATATATAATTTTTCTTGAGTATTCCGGCACTCTATTTCGTTCTACATTGTTACAAGCCGGAACAAAACAATGAGCACTTCTGTGTTGTGTGTGTAAAACCATCAAGTGTTATTGATGCACTTGGTGTCTGCATATCAATTTGTTGCACAACTTCTTGCTCTATTCCTATATTTTCCTGTGCATGTGTCCAACAGTTGGAACAAATAAGCACATGTTCTGGTAACTGAAACAATACAAGAAACAATTTACTTATAGGGGCAACAGATAAGGTTACTTATAGTTGAATGTACAGTAACATTACTTATGTATGGTGGTTTGGTAAATTAAAACAATCTAACCTGATTTGGGTAAATTCTTGCTGCAACTTTATCTCTTACAGGACCACTAGCCATGTGTGTTAGCCTTCAGTGTAGAGACATTCTACACCATGCATACATTAGTCTTGGTGAAGGCTAGATGGGGTTGGAGTTTGCCGATTATCCTCAATCCTTGTAGCATGCTCCACATTTTTACATATTGCTACCCAACAAGCATAGAAAACCAGTCCGCCTGGTGGAATCTGAATAAAAGAATACAATATGTATTGGCTATTCACACAATTATTTAATTCCAACACTAGGTAATTAAGTAAGTTGTTAATGTTACCTCTCTTGGATATATTGTTTCTGTTATTATGGTCCGTTCAGGTCCTTCAGGTATGGAGTGGCTGTGTGTCTGGGCAAGAGACCATCGGCACCATACACATACATTCATATTCATAACAACAGTAGAAGCTGCTATGATTCCTTGTTGTTGTATTGTACGCCAAGTATGTACCCAACAAGCAAAACATATTAAAGCACCTTCAGGTATCTAAAACAAGAAATGTAAATAAAAAATGAGTTTCAATAAGTGTTATGTAATAATTAATATTGAATAAAAAATCATTCTATTATATTCTATGAAATTAAGATTTATTTATTTATATCACAATATTTCTAAATAATTTAAATTAATCAAGATTTAATTATTTCAATATTACTTTTATAGACTCATCCGAGGTGATGTTATATATAAATCACATGTCTACACACATTTCCAAAAATTAAATTGTAACTGTTCTTTTTCTTCTTGAAACAATGTTGTCTTTGACTATAATTAAGAAACATCTACATTTGCATACCATTGTATGAATAAAAAAGAAAACAAAAGCGGTGCTTACCTCTCTTGGAGTAATTGTTTCAGCAATATATTGCCTTTCGGCACCCTCGGGAATAGAGTGAGCACACCTAAACAAAGATGTCCTACAGCTAACACAAACATTACTATCATGGCAATGCTGGAGTTTGTGATCTCCGCGTGCAAGAGCACTATCATTAGACATTTCTTGTATTATAAACCATATAACAAACAGAGGGTCAACAGAGAAGCAATAAATCAATGTCCGTAGTAGTAAACTGGGTCGCAAAACAAAAACAATCACTAAAAACTCCGAAACACATCCAATAACAGTACATATATTATAACCCTAAAGAATAATCAATAAAGAAAGACAAAGAAGTCTAGTCACTTCTTAAAACTGTCAAAGTCGTCAAACGTCACATCTATTAGATAATACAACTGTCATGGCTGCATAGACATCGTAGATAGAGCATTGACTAGATAAAGCATTCGCGTATGCTTTTGAGATAGAAATAGGCGGGAGGTACTTTCACTGGGTTACCAGATATTGTTCCATTTCCCCCGTTATGGGTTTATTTATATTCACAGCACTTACATTCATACAAAAAACTTAATTGTTACCATAAAAAAAAATTCTTTTATAATTCAGATGATTAATTAATTTCTCTTGAAAATACATTCTGTGACTAAAAACTACGGGCGGAAACGGCGTAAAAACAGAATCATCATTCTGTATTCAACGGCACATCGACGATTTTACTGGACATTCAATAACTCTTTGGATTTCGACGGCACTAAGTGAAGGCGCTAATAGTACAAAGTGTGATATCGCTAATAAATAACAATATGTTATATATGTACTTAAATATTAATTGAGAATAAAAATATTAAATAATAAACAAAAATTTCCTTGTGTCGAGTTTTGTTAATTTTACAAAAAAAACAATAATGTTTTAACATACCATTCCATCACAAGTTCAGTGATGAACACAGACCTTCGAAAGGAAAGGGTTTCCACTTAGGTTTTGTAGTACAAACACGGTTATGAGCCTACTCCCGCGATTTCCTGCATGTTTTGCTAAGTTAGTGTCTTGTGTTTTTTTTTTTATACGATAAGGGTGACAAACGAGCACACAGTCCACCTGATGGTAAGTGGTTGCTGCGGCCCATAGACATCTACATCTATCCTTTGTTACAAATCAAAATGTAGATGCGTTGTCACCCGTGAGGACTAAGATAGAATGCCTAATTTCCAGTAAAAAGGGCCTCCGGCCACCTGCACTCACCAAGCGAAACGCAGAGGTAAACCTCTACTTCACGCTGGTTTTCTGTGAGGTCGTGGTACTACCCCGGTTCGAGTCGGCCCATTCGTGCGACAGCAAAAGCTGCCGCGTGGCTCTACCACTGTTTGTGTGCGGCAAGTTGTGGCGTACAAGAGAATTTGTCTGTACACGGGATGATATTACCCCGCGTCGTAAGCAATAATACAAGATGGGGATGGGGCAGCAGCAATTTCCCGATGAAAACTTAAAATAATAAATAACTGCGGTGGCCAACCAACATAACGCATATTTTAACGCAGGCGTGGCAACTATGGCAAAAGTCATCCTATGAGGATATCTATGGAAGGCCTTTTTTAGGTGACTTACTTATGGTTAGGTGGCTTAATCATGTTACCTAATGGTTAAGGTGGTAAAATGTTTAGTTAATATACGTTGTAAAGCATCAACAAAGGGTTTGTTTTTGTAATATGTTGGTATATAAAATAAAAATGAATGTTTTATAATATTCTATTTTAATTTACCATGCAGTGTAAGATTATCTGCTATCTCATATCATTCCATGGCTGGTGTATGAGGCGACATAGGGAAACATCAAAGAAGATAAACAGCAGCATTGTCCTGATAACAGCTAAATAAAAAAAACAGTGGTTGACAACCCGCTCTCCAAGCGTTGAAACTATGCCAAATAACTATAATCATGTTTATTTTCAACAGTGGACTTTTGATAGACTGTAATGATATATATTCTATTTAAATGAAAATATATTGAAATTTAAAAAGGAAAAAGAACTAAATTTTGTGTACTTACACAATATTTAGAAATATTAACAATGTTACATTAAGTAAAAGAAATGAAAACACAATTATCTATTAAATATAATTCAATAAAATCAAAATAAACAAACGATTACTTATTAATTTTTGATCACATTAATAAACAACAAATTTAACAAAATTTTTGTCTTCTTTCCTTGTAATTCTTCGTTGTAATTCTTGGTTTGAGTAGCTTTAGAATTTCTCAAAAATGAGCATTCGTAAACTTGATTTATATTTTTGCATAGCAGAAATTTTTGGGTGCTGGTCGTTAGAATTGGATTAGAAGGGAGTATATATATATTATTTGCCTTGTATATAATATATTCTAATGGTATAAATAATAAGGTACAACTCCTAAACTATACTTAGATAGGTAATACTTATCTCTTGTCAAAAACATCTTTATTACATTATTTATGAAAATTAAATAGAAATTATCATAATTATTACATTTATTTCTTAATTTATTTACACATTAATATTTATAACACCTTTATAAAAGGGATTAAGGGTGGACTAAATGTCCCATTGGTGCCTACCAATATTCTCAGTCAGTTTTACAATTATTATTGCATAATAAATTATTCATTTGTATATTTAGGTCAGGACTTCAAATTACTTATTTATTTCTTTTATTTAAATCTTTATTTGCATATAACATGATAGTACAGATAAAGTTCCAACATTTGTAAATGAGGATTCATGTTTAATCAATACATCTATAAGTAAATATTTTGTCATTATCATGCCACCCAATTATTACAAGTCATAATAATACAGAATGTCAGCATTTGAAAATAAAATAAGCAATGCTAGTCAATTTTTAATACATACAGAACAATGTCAAAAATCATAACTACCAACAAGATCAAACTTATATCACTTATGGAGAAACAACAAGATACAACAAGAAATTATAACATTTAAAAAAATTATCTTAATTATATTATAAATTACATAAGTTAAGCATATTTAGTCCATCTAAAACAATGAGGCTTAAAATGTTTTGAGCATACACTGCTAAGTTTTGTTGGTTACCTTTAATCACTACCAGTAGCGATTATCCAACAGTAATGGATAGCTAATTCCTTAGGAAAGCTGTGAAATAATATATTTAAAAGAAATTAATATATTAAATATATAGTACACTTTTATATCAAGGTATTTAACAAAAAAAATCAAGTATGTGTATCTGTGCATAAATACAATACCTATAACAATTAAAACAATATCAATTGATTGAATTAAATAGCAAGTATATGTAAATGTAATGATAATATTATTCATACCACACATTTTAAAAAAATTATGTACATATTAAACTATAGATATTGTTGATTAATACATTTACAGCCTAACAAATGTCCTCCACCGCTGAACATAGACCTCCCACACAGTTTGTCACCAAATAACTCCAGTTGCCAATTCTCCTGCCAAGCTAGGCAACTATGACAAAACCTATAACTTTTGACTTTTGATACTGACTAATGGTAACGGTAAGTATATTATCATCAAATTTTTTCTACATCATTAATTGAGAATATTATCTTAAGTTGTTGTGTTATTGTGTACCTTAAGATTAAGACTTATTTATTTATTTATTTATTATTTTATCTATGTTTATATTTATTTTTATATTAGCATGACACATTTTTTTTTAATAAATATTATAATGTAATTGTTGCTAATGTATAATAGAATTAATGGAATGCAATAAAGTTTTGTGCATCTGATTTCAGGCAATACATATTTTGTGAAATTAAATATACTTTGCACAATATTTATGTACTTGAATCCAAACGTGTTTTCAGGTTGATACTTACATATTATTTGTGACGTCTATGTAATATGGAAAATGATTGAAGAGTTGTAGGGCAATAAGGAGTTTCCTTTAAAGCTGAATATAAAAGTGTATGTATATGTATAACATTATGTGATTCATATTTATGGACATAACTACTAATCACAATAACAATTATTATTGAACAATGCGAAAACATTATTGTACTCGCTGATATCCCTAAAGCTTCTATAATCCTACCAAATCAAAAAGTACACGTTTGTTATGACTTTAAGCTTTCGAATGACCGTTCAAATTAAGGAGCATTATCATGAAGAATTTACAATTTGGGAGTCCAAATATTTGACAAAATACATCACAAAGTTCATTAAAAACATGAAATGTTACACTTTATATTCAAAACAATAGATATTAATCAGTACAAGTAGCAAATGTAAGCACAAAACAAACTTACCGATGAAAGGTAATATTATCAATGTTTCGTTGACTGATGCTATTTCATCCTAAAATGCTACAACTTACCATCTTTTTCACCTTACCTAATAACTAAGATCCAAAAAAAACACTAAATTCAATTACCTGTTTGCTTATAATATCAATATTATTCAAAAGAGCTTGACATCGTTAATGTCAAATAAAGGAGGGAAAACAATCAAAAACGCATACCTAGAAAAAGACAAGAAATATAGATTTGCTTCTCCCTTACTCTTATGTCTAACTATATACGTGCATTCCTTTCACACGCTGATGACGTCACTGAATGTTTAGTCTATAAGATACTATGTCGAAGAGCTTGACATTAACGATGTCAAGCTCTTTTGAATAATATTGATATTATAAGCAAACAGGTAATTGAATTTAGTGTTTTTTTTGGATCTTAGTTATTAGGTAAGGTGAAAAAGATGGTAAGTTGTAGCATTTTAGGATGCAACAGCATCAGTCAACGAAAAATTAGAATAGAATAGAATAGAATAGAATGATTTTTATTCAATATGGATTATTACATAATACTTATTGAAAGTCATTATTTTATTTACCACTGGTTCGGAAAATACCTCTGTCCTGGGAAGAACCAGCAAGAAACCCAGCGGGACTTTTTTTTTAAACATAATTTCACTTAACAATAATTTTTTTTATACAATTTTAAATGAATTTTCATAGAACCAGCATGGTGGCGATCACCTTATTCCCAGGGGTTATTTTCATTCATGTATTCCTTGATATTATAATAACCCTTTTTGTATAGTTTTTCTTTAATAAAACTTTTAAACTTGTTTATTGACAAACTTTGAACATGTTCTGGGATTCTGTTGTAAAAGCGTATACATTGCCCCATAAATGAATTACTAATTCTGTGGAGTCTTGTAAGTGGCATTACAAGCTTATGTTTGTTCCTAGTGTTTAAGGTATGAACATCCTTATTCTTATTAAAGCTATTTATGTTTTTATGTACAT